AGTCGTTTGCTAACAGTCTCCCTCAAATTAAGCATTCATCGAGTGAATGATTAATTTGTTACGAAGGTCGTTGAAACGAGCGATAGAAAATGGTTTTGTTAGAATATCTTCTATCTGATCATTTGAAGGAATGTGAGTGAGGGATATGTCGCCGTAGCCGATATGCTGACGAATGAACTAATAGTATATTTTGATGTGTTTAGTTCTTACATGGAAGACCGCATTCTTTGCGATGGCAAGAGCCGAGATGTTGTCACAATGAATTACGGTAGGAGACTTCTGTCCAAGGTGAAGTTCGGCAACTAAGTGGCGAAGCCATATGACGTCCGAGGTGGCCGCGGACAAGGATCGGTATTCGGCTTCAATTGAGGACTTGGCAACCGTTACATGCTATGATGCACAGACACGGACACGGCGACACGGATACGACACGACAAAGACACGGGACACGTCAGTTATTGAAAATATAGGACACGGACACGGGTTGGACACATTATTATAGTTTTTATATTTAAAAAATAGTATATAAAAATTAAATACGTATAATTTTAAAAATAATTTGAAAATAATAAGTCATTTAACTAGAATTTGTGCTTAAAATGATTAGTATTAGGATGTCAAGAGTCAGGCATTGATGTCATTTATCAGTCACCGAGAGAGGATATGAAAATACCTTCACTGCCAAAAAGAAATGAAAATGAGAATATTTAAGTATTAAGTGCGGAAGTTGATTTTTTGTTGTGGATGAGAAATCAGAAATTTATTTTAAATCTGCAAAATATAAGAAATTATATTTAAAAAAATTCATAATATATTTAAGATACGCATGTTGGACATGCGTGTCCAATTTGTTTTTAATATTTATTAATCGGACATGTTTTCGACGTGTTCGACACGTGTCGGAGGAGTGTCGGGCGAGTGTCATGTCGGACACGGTGTCGGACACTGCACGCCTCTTTGAGGAGAAGTGTCGGTGCATCATAGGTTACATGTTTCTTAACAGAGCAGGATATGAGGTTTGGGCCTAAAAAGGTGCAATATCTGGATATAGACTTTCGGTCTGTAGTGTCTGATGCCCAGTCTCCATCCGTGTAGGTGTTTAGTGTCAGATCACCAACTGTGATGGGTAGACCATAGGACGACGTGCCTTTGACATAGTGAAGTAATCTTTTTAATGCTTGAAAATCTTGCTCGGTGGGATGCTGCATCCTTTGACAGACCATGTTGGTGGTGAAGGCGATGTCCGGCCGTGTTATAGATAGGTATTGGAGGGATCCCGCAAGGCGACGATAGAGAGTAGGGTCTTGAAAGGGCTGAAGGTTGTTGGATTGGTGTTTGGATTTCAGAGTGACAGGTGTTGGTGCGGGTTTGCAATCATCAAAGCCAGCATTGTGTATGATTTTCTTGGCGTAGTGCTGTTGCGTAAGGAAGTACCCGGCGGTTGTTCGAAGGACTTGAATGTCGAGAAATAGAGAGATTTGGCCGATCTGTTTGAGAGCAAATTGAGAGTTGAGGAGCTTTAGTAGAGACTGAATGGCAGATTTGTCATTCCCTATGAGAAGTATATCATCCACGTAAATCAAGACATAAATCTGAGTGTTATGATGATTAAATCGAAGGAGAGATGGGTCGGAACGACTAAACCTGAATCCTTGTGATTGTAAAAAATCGGTGAGTTTCTGAAATCATTGTCGGGGTACCTGCTTGAGCCCATAGAGAGATTTTTGAAGTTTGCATACGAATTCTTGTAATTTCGGATGCACAAAGCCGGGTGGTTGGCGCATGTAGATGTCATCCGGAAGGTCACCTTGCAAGAATGCATTGGAGACGTCTAGTTGATGTATAGGCCAGTTTCGATGAAGGGACAAAGTGAGAAGAATGCTGATCGTAGGCATTTTTGCGACGGGGCTAAACGTTTCATTGTAGTTGACGCCAGGTATTTGATTGTAGCCAAGAGCGACGAGACGAGCTTTGTGACGATCTATCTGTCTTGCAGGTAAAAGTTTAGTTTTAAATGTCCACTTGCAGCCAAGGATGGGCTTGTTTGGTGGAGCAGGAACAAGGGACCAAGTATTTTGTTGGGTAAGAGTGTTGAATTCATCCATCATGGCTTGTCGCCAATGTGTTGACTTGGCGGCCTGGGTGTAGGTGGTGGGAGTCACAGAAGACGAATTGGTAGTAGTGAGGGAAAATATTTGTTTGGGTTTAGAGATGCCGGACTTTAGCCTGGTTTGCATCGGATGATGTGAGGGAACAAGCCTGGATTGGGAATGAGTAGATGTAGTGTCACGGTTAGGTGAAGATTTTTGAGTGGAGTATGGGTTGGAGGGTGGAGTTATATTGCTGTGAGTGATTTCTGGAATTGGAGGGAAGGTTTTAGGAGTGGTACTACTACTAGTTGAGGTGTTTGAAGGAGGAGAACTGACAGTTTGAGGGAAAGAAACCGTGGAGGTAGGAATGATAAGTAGGGGAGAGGAAGTGTGGAGTTGAGAGTTAGTTGGAGATGAAGGTGTGATAGATAAAGATTTGTAATGAAATGTGGTTTCGTAGAATACGACATGCCGAGAGATGTATATTTTTCCCGATTTTTGATGATTACATTTGTAACCTTTATGAAGTGTTGAATAGCCAAGAAAGGTGCATTCTTGAGAGCGGGGAGACAATTTGTTAGATGTGTAGGGTTGCAACCATGGGAAGCAAAGACACCCAAAGGTGCGAAGGTGAGAGTATGTGGGTAACGTATCGTGAAGTCTTTGGTATGGTGATTGAAGAGAGATTTAGAGGGAAGACGGTTGATGAGGTAACTGGTAGTTGACAGAGCTTCTGCCCAGAAGTTATTTGGAAAGTTGGACGCATGAAGGAGTGTGCGAGTGAGGTTGAGTAGGTGCCGGTGTTTACCCTCAAATATGCCGTTTTGTTCTGGGGTGTGTGAACAACTCAATGGATGTGTTGTACCAAGTTCTTGCAGATGTGTTTTGAAGGCATGGCTAGTGTATTCGCCTCCGCCGTCGGAGCAAAATTTCTTGGGTATGTAGCCATGTTGATTTTTAATTAGATTACAAAACAGTTTGAACTTAGCAAGAGTTTCGTGTTTATAATGCATTAGATATATCCAAGAAAACCGCGTGAAGTTGTCAATAAAGATCACATAATAACGAAAGGCGTCTAAAGAATTTTGCGGAGCTGGTCCCCAAACGTCTGAGTGGATTAATTCAAAAGATGATGTAGAAACCGTAATGCTTTTATTGAAGGAAAGTTTGTGGCTCTTGACCACATTACAGGATGTGCATATAAAAGAATTTGATACATTGTTTAAGTCGAGTAAGTGTTGAGCAAGAATGGAGAGGACGTTTATTCGGGTGGCCTAATCGTGCGTGCCAAAGTTGAGTATTTGTTGTAGTGGCTGTGAAGGCGGTGGGAGGGTGTGCAGAAGACATCCGGATTTGATAAAGGCCAATATGTAGATGCCCGCGAAGAAGCGGTCGTTGATCTTGAATATCCTTGATTTCGAACCCATTAGCATCAAAGCAAATTGAGATAGAATTATTATAAATTAATTTTGAAACGGAGAGAAGGTTGTGAGTGAGAGAGGGAACATGAAGAAGATTGCATAATCGGAGCTTACGGGGAGTGTCAGGTAGCGGAAGGAGGCCTTGACCGGTGTTGTGAATAGGTAGGGAGGATCCATTGGCGGTTGATACGGTGTCAGAGCCTTGATAAGTGGACGAGGAATAAAGATTGTTGCTGTCGGGTGTTAGGTGAGTAGATGCGCCGGAGTCGAGTATCCAATCTTGAGTTGCGGTGGGAGATGGTTGAGCTAGAAGTGCACGAGGCGGACGTGAAACGGCGAGAGCATATTTGAAGTTGCATCGGTGCCAGCAGTTGAGAGCAATGTGGCCCGATTTTCCGCATATTTGACACCTTTGACGGCCTGAATTAGTGAGGGCGGATGTAGCGGGAGGAATGGGCGAGCTGGTGTTGGAGAGAGGCACATTCTTGTTCTTCTAAAATCGTTTCTGGCCACGTCCGCCCGTTGGGTTTGAAGAGGATGCATTGAGCGCGTTAGCCGTCAAACCGGCTGATGAGTCTTTAAGAGTTTATTGCTGTAAGTTTATTTGTTCGCTGCAGATAAGCAAATAGAGAGTTTCGAGGTCGATTGGAAGAAGAGATGTGCGAATGGCGGTCTTGAAGGAGTTATAGGTTGAGGGTAGGCCATTTAGGATGTAGAGGATGATGTCTTCCGGATCAATTTTAGATCCGGAGGCAGCGATGTTGTCGACGATCGATTTGATCTGGGCAAGATATTGCTGCATGGTGAGGTTTTTCATTTCAATATTGTGGAGTTTATTCTTGAGTTGAATGACCCGTGAGCGATTGATGGGTTAAAGACATCGTTCAAGAGTGAGCCAGGCGGCATTGGCGGTGATAGAGAAGATAATGTAGGGAAGGATTGATTGAGAGATTGTAGAGAATAAAGATGATAGGAGGTTGCCGTCAACAAGTTTCCAGTGAGCGTAGTCTTGGGATTGAACGTCGGCGGGGGCTGGAATGGCGCCGGTGAGGTGTCCGGCGTAGCCGTTCGCCTGAAAGTGTTGTAGAATTTGCATACGCCAAATGACATAGTTGTCCGAGGTTAATGGGTTTGGGATGAGGTTCTTGACATTAGAGACAAGAAACTTGAGAAGGGCCAGTATAGTGAGATCGGTGGGAGATTTTTCCGATGGAACGGTGGAGGGAGGGAGAGAACTTGCTGAGTCTTGATCTCCCATGAGCAGCTCTGGATACCATGAAAGAAAAAGAACAGAGGATGGACAGGGAAGAGAAGCAGGAAAGGAAATGTAATATTTATAACATTAAAGAACGAATACAGAGCCTATAAATAGAGCTGTACAGGGTAGAAATGTAAATACAATATTACAGAGAGAGTCGTTTGCTAACATTGCCTACATGCTTATTATTTTCATGTTGTTTGAATGATGATTTTTTTTTCTTACCTTCAGTTTCCTCTCATTTCCAAATGCGGGAAGATTGCACGTCTAGTAGAAGACGCACATGACTCAAAAGACAATATGCAATATGAATTAGTGGGATGTCCTGGAGGACATGAAGGATTCTGCATTGCGGCAAGATTTTGTTATGGGGCTAAAGTGGAGCTTACCCAAAACAACGCTTTATTGGTGTATTGCACTGCTGAATATCTTGAAATGACGGAGGAATATGACAATGACAATTTATTGAATATGGTGCAAAGTTTCATCCATAAAACCATCCTGCGAAGCTGGGAAGATTGTATATTGACTCTTCAAGGCTGTCAGAAATTTATTCCAAAAGCTGAAAACCTTCCAGTTGTGCACAAATGTCTCGACGCTCTCTCAGTGATGGCATGTACTGATCCCAGTTTGTTTGGATGGCCTATGTTGCTGTATGGAAGTTTACAAAGTCCTGAAGGTAGCATACTCTGGAATGGAATAAATACTGGTGCTAGAATTAGAAGCAAAATATCTAATTGGTGGTTTGAAGATGTTTCATGTTTCAACTATCCGATGTTTAAGAAATTGATGGAAACAATGAGTAAACGTGGAATCAGACCAGAAAATATAGCTGGTGCACTAATGTATTATGCAAGAAAGTATTTGCCTGGTCTTGATCGATGGCAGGGTGGGCAAGTTGGTAAATTAAGGAGCATTGCTAGTTTATCCATGATGCCAGCTGCAGTAGATCAAAAAGCGTTAGCTGAAAGCATTATAGAGCTGCTTCCTAATAAGAAGGGGAAGTCTTACTGTCGTTTCTTGCTGGGTCTCCTACGCCTATCGATCATATTGGATATCGAGCAATCATGCAAAGAAACTTTGGAGAGGATAATAGGATTGCAACTTGAATATGCAACACTTGATGGTCTACTTGTTCCTAATTTTTCAGGATCTGATAACCTGTACGACACAGATTGTATTGAGCGTATTATTCGACATTTCTCATCTATTCAGAACTTGAATATTGCATCCTTCTCGCCAACATCATCGGATCCTGCTATTTCCTCTAACCATTTAAATAATGTAACAAAATTAATTGACAATTATCTCGCTGAGGTTGCTCCTGATGTGAACTTGAAAGCTCAAAAGATGTGGTCTCTTGTAGAGGCATTTCCTGAGTCCTTGAGAACATCGGATGATGGAGTGTACAGAGCAGTGGATATATACCTCAAGGTTAGTATCCTTTGCTTAAACTAATGTTATGGTGCTTACTTCGTTAAGCTATGGATAAATTGCATGCATCCTAATGGCTTGATTCAGCAGCTTCCAGATTAAGGTTGAAATTTTGTGTTAGGTAGTTTTTAGTATTGCTAGTTTTTTTGGCTCCAGAATAAGCATGGAAGTTTTTGGCTAATTTGGTTGAATCATCTAGCTTTGATATGGAAAATGAATTATCGAGGTATACAATAATTTTAGGTTTCAGAAGTTTTGCAAAGATCAATGTTCTAAGGTTGAGTAAAAGAGTTATATAAAATAGTTTATGCAAGAGAGAGAAGATCTAACGGCCTTGATAAGATAGGTTGATTAGTAAAAGTGATGGCAATAATGATAATAGGATTTTTATTAAATTTGAGTGTTATATTTCGAGAAATAATTAAATGAGATTTTTTTAAATTGGAAAAGTTTTTTTAAAAGAATGAAATCATGAAATGCATTATGCATTGATAAAAAAAATGAAGTTTAGTTACTCTGAAGATACATAAAATTAAAACTTTACATTCAATTAAAATTTTGTTAGTATAATAGCCGGTATCATTGGCCGATTCAATTGAATCGGCCAGCCCTTATATTTAAAACCCTAAACAGCAGAGGCAGAACCGAGTGGAAGTTTTTTGGAACTATAATTAGATGCATATGCTTACATGTGTGAGTGTTTTGCAAAAAACGTTGTTAAGCAAATTGAGTGTTGCACAAATAAGAATATTAAGATGGATAATAAAATGGTGATGGAGAGAGCATGTGATGATAATGCTAAGATATGCTTACAACAACTATTGAAAATAAGATATTGAAATGTGGTGTAGGCACATACAATGGAGGATAAGTGACACTCTGATATTGGAGAAATTATTCTGTGCTGAGGCCGAACACAGCTCTACGTTCGGAGGCGAATCAGGTGCAGCCACATTAGCGGCACCGAGCCGCTGTACTGAGCGGTATCGAGCCGCAGTACACAACGAAGAGGTGACGTGACGCATTTTGGTTGGTCACATAGAATAATTAATCCTGATATTATAGATAGAATTTGTGAGATGATTAAAAAAAATAGTTTGACCAGAGATATTACGCCTAGAAGTTAATGCAGCAAGAAAACAAAATAGAATAAACACTTTATGGAATAGTCTACTGGAATGAATATGAGTTAGGAATGCTAACTCTAAATGGTTGGGATAAGGGCAATGGTGGTTGTTTAAATCATGTCAATTTGACAGTATATTATCGTCATTTTTTTTATCTATCCATTGTTCGCATCATTTGGACTAAAGGTGCAACATGTGATGAATTTGAACAGTTCTGTACTTACAGGAACACTAATGCTCATACATAATTTTCAATTTTATCACTTCCAGTTTTGTTATGGTACACTCTACCAAGTTGTTTATTCTTGCATTGCTAATCTGTTTTTTACATGTAAAGTCGTGTCTTCGTTTTTGCCCATTTCAAAATTCTACTAGCTACTTGTCTTTTGCTGCTTGTATTTGACCAGTTCAAAAATCTACTACTTTGGTTCCCAAATAAGATCTGCATATTACAAAATAAAAGTTAAAGCCAAAATAAATATTGAAATAGACCAAAAGAAATCATTCTCACAAAATTTGTACTTAGTATATGCTTGAATGTAACTCTTATTTTTCCACCAAGCATTGGTTTCCAATTGTCTGAATTCCCTCTGCAGGAACACCCCTGGCTTCTAGACGATGAAAGAGAGAAGCTCTGCAGCATTATAAACTGGGCAAAGCTCTCCATTGATGCCTGTACCCACGCCACGCAGAATGAACGCCTGCCACTCAGAAGGGTTTTCCAAGTTCTCTTTTTTGAGCAAATGCAGCTGCGTTCTGCCCTTTCCAATTACCTTCACAATTTTGACAATGAAAACAATGTTACTTCCCCTGTAAATGAATCTACTGGAGAGATTCTACAAAGAGATGGCTTTGTTTCTGTTATAAGGGAGAGGCAGCATCTGAGAACAGACGTGGAGCTTCTACAAGCTAAAGTCAGAGACCTGGAACTTGAATTTTTAAGCATAAAACAAAAGATTGGAAAGTTTAGCCAATCCAGTAAAGTTGGGTGTATCCATTTGCCACTGATAAAAGATTTTAATAGTGACATTATTGAAAGTGCAGGTTCTAACCCTAGAAGATCAACAGAAAAACCTCATGCCTCGCATAGATCGAGTCATGCCCGAAGAATATCCTGATTCTTTGACAATATTCTTTGGTGTTTCATTTGCTTGCAATCTGTAAATATTTAGCATGGCGTTCAAAATAAGAGTAATCATGAAGAGTAGAGTTTTACTAAAAGCATCAGTTTGTGAGAGCTGTGTTGTATAGAAACCTCTGAAAGGTCATTTTTTTTTTTTTTTTTTTTAGTTTTTTTGATGGTGGGATGATTCACGACACTCTTTCGAGTCCTGATGTAGGCTTCATTTGATACAATTTTCTTACTGTTGTTTAAAATATCTTTAGAAAGCAGTAAGAAAGCTGTCCCAAACGAAGCCTTGGTCCATTTGATTTGATAGAAACATGAAAACTAATTTAGTGCTTCTCTAAACTTATACAATTTAGAGTCCTCTCCACACTAATGGAAATCTAATTTTAGTAAAATCTTGAATTCCTCCACTAATTGTCTTCCTTACTCGAGCCTTAGGCCTCATCTTGTCTGTCCTTACTTTGGCTGGCATCATTAGAAGCATTAAGAGGTCTATTGCATTGTAATAATGTTATAAATTACCACAGTAGCAGATCATTTTAATATGCTTTAAGAAAATTCACTTTGATCGGCATGAATTTTGATGCAGTAATTTGTATTGAAAAATCTAAGAATTGAATTAGAATAATCTGAAAGTTCAATTTCTGCAAGCTTAGAATTAAATTAAGTGACTTAATAAGATAAACTCATCACAAAGGTGATTTGATCCGAATTTAAATGAGCTCAAAAAAGCATTGGAAAGATATTTGAAATGCCACATTAATTGGAGGATAAAACATATCTGATTTTTGCTTGTTTATAGTCAGAATGAGTGGCTTGATGAGTGGAATCCAACAAATTTAAGATCACTCAAATTTTAAAGTATTTAAATATTAAATAAACGGTCTATGATAAAAGGATTTGATATGAGACTTTTGATGGAGTGAAATGAAATTTTGGTTATAAAAATACAAACTTTAAAAGTATTTTAAATATACTATTATTCTCAACATGAAGGAAGGTTAGACTAAAATGGTGAGAATGCTTGGATATTTGAAGAACTCCAGAGCTCTGCTTGATGTCGACATTATTGATTACCACCAAGTACAATCATCATCTAAATACTTGTATGATCGGCATTGCCCGACTATCTCTAATTATCATTGCCCAATTATGATCTTTAGACCACCGTTGCTTGATTATGATCATCTAAATATCATCACTCGAAGATAGTCTTTTCACCATCATTGGTTATTGTAGGGGTGATGGGTTAGAGAGAGAACGTCTGGATTTTTAGAGAGAGAAAGTTCGCCGCCTAGTTTGAATTCGGTTTTGCGTGAGATTCCTGCGTTCGGTGGTGGAGGCGTCGGAGGATCGCCGGCGTTGTTCTGCCAGTATTATGAATGCTCCGCGACCATACGGATCTCTACGTCCCAATGGTAGAGTTTCAAATGGTATTGTGATCAGGGAAGGAGAAGGACCTCCGAGCCGTCAAGTTCTTGTTGAAGGCAAGGGGAAGAACATTATGATGGAAAGTATGCCTGGGAAGAAGAATTTGGCTGTGAAGAGAAATACAGGTTTGATAATTCTTGAATCCTCAGCTTCGAATGATTTAATTTTACGTTTGAATAAGTTTTCGGGAGTTCTTGATACGCATAAGGGGCGTAATATTGAAGATGAATTGAATTCGGTGGAGGTTCCGAAGGTGGATGCAAATTTGGATTATGTTAAGGAGAAAGTGAAGGATCAAATGGATGCTGGAATCCAGAAGACCAAAATGAATGATAGCCACAGACAGGAGGGTCTGAGTTTGGGTGAGGTTGCTGAAGCATGGTTGAAACCGAAGCCAATCAAGATATCATTCAATATGGACCAGGTTGAGTTTTCAGAGGATGGTATTGCTGTCAAGTTGAATGCAGATATGGAGGCAAATAATTCTCAAAATTTGAAGAATTCGGTGGTGATTAAAGTGTTGGGTAATAATGTGCCGTTTTCGGTTTGCAGTACAGAACTGAGGAGGCAATGGAGCAAATCTGGTGGATTTCACTTGACGTTTATTGGTATGAACTAGATTTTGTGTTCATTCCAGACGAGTGAGGTGATAGAAGAAATTCTGAATGGTGGACCCTGGTATGTGAACGGGTTCATTGTCGGTATGGATAGATGGTCCCCTGCATTTGATCCAAATTCGTTTAAAGGAGTTTCTACTCCCGTTTGGATTAGACTCCCATGCTTGCCTCTGTATTGCTGGGATGAGGATAATATCACAAGAATTGCTTCTTGTTTGGGGTCTCCAATGTACATTGATGGCAATACCTTTCGCTGGGGTAAACGAGAGTTTGCCCGTGTATGCGTGAGGATTAATCTGGAGAAGAAACTGCTGAATGGTGTTTGGGTGGATGGCTCGGCTAGGAGATTCTTCCAACGAGTGGAGTATGAGAAAATTCTTCTTATCTGTTATCAGTGTGGTAGAGTGGGTCATGATAGAAAGATTTGTCCGGAAAATGTAACCATTGGAATACAGGATCAAGCGTTGAGGAAGATGGATGCAGTAAATGAAGAAAGTGAGAAGGTTGTGCCTGATAGAAAACCTTCTGTGTCCATTTCAAGAATAGGAAAGTTAACAGAGGTAATGTTATTAGAAAAGGAGTGAATGTCAATGGGATTAACAATGTTGTCCAGGGAAATACTAATAAGAAGGTCACTGTGTAGAAGGAAATCCAGGTGTTGGATGGGAGGCTGCTGATGTTGAAAAATCTGTCATGGTTCCAGGAATGTATTCTGAAACTGAGAAATCTACTGGGGGTAAGAATTTAGATACTCTTTTAACCAATAGGTTTGCTGCTCCGGTTGATAGTAATGAAGAAGAAGAAATGGGAAATCATGTAGAAATTGGTAAAACAGTAGATAGGATCTTGGACATAACTGATCCAGATGTCAGTAACAGTGGTTTGGGTTCCTACAATGGTGCTGCCAAGGTTAAGCTATCCAAGGAATTGAGATCTTTAGGGCCTGTTGAACCTGATTATAAGAAAAAGAAGAGGGATGGTAGGTTGAACCCCACTGGTGGGGAGAGACCCTCAGCTCTTGTTTAAATGTCATCCATTCTATTTTGAAATTGTATGGGGGCTAGGAAAAAAGAGGCTTCCCTATACTTGAACGACATTGTTAGAGATCAGGATGTATACTTTATTGGGCTCATGGAGACCAAATTGTCTAGCGTTGATAGAAGGGATGTTGACTATCTTATTGGGAATGAATGGGAACATTTCCATCACCCTGCAGTAGGTACCTCAGGAGGAATTTTGGTGTTATAGAATAGAAAGTTGGTGTCTTTTGATGTTATGGAAACATCAGCACAAGCATTTGTTGGTAATCTCTCAGTTCCCACCTTGAGAACTTGGAAAGTTGCCACTGTTTATGGGAGTAGATGTTGTAAGGAGAGGGGAAGTCTTTGGAAGCAACTTCAAGAGTGTATGGAGGACTCAATTCCTTCCATTATTGGAGGGGATTTTAATTGTATCATTAGTAAGGAGGAGAAGAGAGGAGGCAAGAGGTTCTTGTTTTCAAAAGGACCTAGGGAGATGAAGAGCTTTATGATGAATTCAGATTTTCATGATATTAGAAGTGTTGGACCAAGGTTTACTTGGTGTAACAACAAAGAGGGAACCTCTTGGATTTGGGAAAGGTTGGACAGATGCATGTTAAATTTGGCTGCTATTCAGAAGCTTCCAGTTGCTACTATCAAGCATCTTGCTAGAGTGGCGTCTGACCATAGTCCTATTATTCTGAATATGGGAGATAAGGTGCAGTACAAGGCAAAAACCTTTATGTTTGAGGACACTTGGAGATCTTACCCAGCAGCTAAGAGTGTTGTTTATCACTCTTGGAAGAAGAATGACTGTGGTGATGAGTATATGATCTTGCAAAGGAAGCTTAGCCGAACATTAAAGGCACTATTTATTTGGAATAAAAATAAGTGCAAGGATTTGAATTTGTTAAAGGAAAAGTTGAAGAAAGAAATCCTTGAACTTCAAAACAAGGAAGCTTTGGGTGATAATTGGTCGGTTGATGACCATTTTGTGCTTAGAAACAAAGTTCATGAACTTAATGTCACATTGAGAAGATTGTCTACTTGGTGGAATCAAAGGGCAAAGGCAAGGTGGCATGAGGAAGGAGATACAAACTCAAAGCTTTTTCAGAATTTTGCATCGGCAAGAAGAAATGGAAACTGAATTAATCAGATTAGAGATGAGCTTAATGTACTGCATGATGATGAGGATCAAATTGAGAAGGTATTCACACAATTTTTTGAGAAGAAATGGAAATACAGAGAATGTGAGCTGACGGGATGGCCATTGGTTGCTGAAAAACAGAAGATTACAGATGAGGATATGGTGATGCTTAATGAGGATTTCTCATTGAATGAGCTGCAGTTCTCGGTTTTCCAGCAAGGAAACAACAAGGCACCAGGTATTGATGGAGTTACCTCTTCTTTTTACAAGAGTTATTGGAGTATTGTTTGGGAGACTCTATGGAGTGCAGTCAACCGTTTTTTCAAATCCAGCCTTATGAATAGGGAGTGGAAGGATACATTAATCTTTTTAATTTCTAAAGTAAAATTCCCTCTGATTCTATCAAATTATAGGCCTATCAGCCTATGTCAGACTAATTACAAGATTATGGCTAGTATGCTAGTTAACAGATTGAAGAAGGTTATTTCCAAGATGATTTCTGAAGAGCAAGTAGCGTTCATTCTTGGAAGATCCATTTCAGAGCATTGTCTTTTGGCTCAAGAGATCCTTCACAAGTTCAAAATTTCCAAGAATAAGAAGGGGTTGATGGCTCTTAAATTGGATATGGAGCAGGCTTATGATAGCTTGGGATGGACAACACTTCGTCAGGTTCTTAAGTGGTATGGTTTTCCTATTGTTTTCTCTAACTTCCTTATGGAATGTGTTGTATATGTGAGGTTTTCTATCACCATCAATGGAAGGAACTCCAAGTGGATTCCATCAAGGGTGTCCACTTTCTCCTTATCTCTTCATTTTGTGTTCTCAACTCATGTCCAACTCTTTAGAGCAAAGGGGACAGGCTCTTGGCATTCAGATTTCCCCTAGAGACCCAAAGATCACACATCTCCTTTATGCAGATGATGTGTTGATTTTTTCTCATGCTTCCATTACTTTAGCTAAGGCATTGAAGATCATAGTGGAGGATTTTTGTAAGTGGACAGGGCAAAGAGTTAATGTCAGCATATCACAGATGTTGTTTGGCAAGGTGGTTAGTTACTCTATGAAGAAGAAGATTGCTAGAGTACTCG